TAACAGGTGCTACCAGCAATTAAGAGGTGGTTCCACGCTCCTCATAAGCTCCTGATCAGAGAGCTTGCTATCGGACGTAGTTTATCGTCATACCAAGGACGTAAACACTGCACATGACAAAAGTGTGTTTTGGGCAAAGGTTTACCGAGCGAAAAGTAGAATCGGCGTCTCGGTTTCAAATACTGATCGAGTGTGTTGAGTAGATTATAGTTTATTTGACGACATATAAGACGCACCGTTGTATAAGGAGCACCCGAAATTCAGCAGGGCAAATCCTGAAAAATTAGTAATTAGCAAAATTAGTAAACCTATATATGGCATATAATACGCAGGGTAATTTTAAAAGATATTTTTAGTAAAAAAGTGCGTCTTATATGCCGTCAAATACGGTAATTATATACCGATCGTAAATTATATTTAAATTCAACGTCAATCGCCATCTTCTGTTTTCTTGAACCCTGTTCCTTTATTGTCCTTTCCTCAATTTTCCCCACTAAAATCTGCTCATTCTCTTTCACTCCCTGTAACGCCCTGCACCCTAGTGACATTATAATCTTGCTTGTGGTGTAATGTTTATATATATATATATATATATATATATATATATATATATATATATATATATAAATATAAAAAAAGTGAACATAGAAGGCAACACTAAGAGGCGACAATCTGTTTCATGCTAGATACAATCCTAAAAAAATTGCATCTAGCATGAAACAGACTCTAAGTGTTGACTTCTATGTTCACTTTTATATTTACACACGCTCTATCTCTGATATTGAGCACTTTATCCCATAAATATAGTATACCTTAAGACTATATTTCTTAATATATATATGTCACATTTTCGAAAACATCTCGCTGTGAGAGAGGACCTTTACATAAAACAACTGGCAGCCAGTATAAATCTCACACTATTCAGCAGCGGAAATGGTGTGTTGAAGTTTTATTTTTTTTTAAATAGGAAGACCACAATTCTAATTCCAGCAACGCTTAACTCACGAAGCTCGGAATAAAAGCTATTACTATTCAAACAGTACAAAACAAAAATCTCCATCTTAATCAAATATAAAAAGAAATTAACAACATCTAAGTAGAAAGCACCTTGAAAATCGCTAAAGAAGTGTTGGAAAGGGTGTGGGGTAATGGAAAATACGGATAAATGTAGGAATATTGAAAAAATTAAATAAATAATGAATAACATTTTCCTTGTCTGTTATATTCCACGAAACATGTTTAAAAGAAAGACTCTATACAAATATACATTATATATATATATATATATATATATATATATATATATATATATATATATATATATATATTTCAAGAGGATAGAATCCAGATAGAACTCAATGTACAGGACAGAGTAAGAATATAATATAAAAGGCTAACAAATTCAAAAAGCTATATATATATATAATGTAAATCTATTTAAACTCGGTGGGTGAAAAAACCTGGATAGCACAATTTTCAAATAAATTGGCATCCGAGGAAAAATGAAAAAAAAAAAAGAAAGCACCAGAAACCTCCGAACAGGGCGAAAGAAACAATCCAGTACCTTAAATCTCTGGTACAAAGAAGAAAAACAGCTAGTAATAAGTTAAAACGAAGAGTGCTCAATACGGTAAGTAGAGCAAAAAGTGAAATAAATAAATTTGCCCTGATTTGTCCTATCTGGTGAAAACTAGGTAGGTAGTACCTGGCTCATTAGAACTTATTTATTTTTATATATATATATATATATATATATATATATATATATATATATATATATATATATATATATATAATATATAAAATATAAAATAAAGAGCCCATACCTTAAATCTCTAGTACAAAAGAAGAAAACAGCTAGTAATAAGTTAAAATGAAGAGTGCTCAAGTAGAGGAAAAGTAAAATAAATAAATCCTAATGAGCCACATACATTAGGATTTATTTATTTTATATATTCTATAATAAAATATATATATATTCTATATATATTACTGTTTTATATATGCGCAGTACTTATTGGAAAATGCTTAATATCTGTGATAGAGCTAACATATTCAGTTATATGGATATGTGTTTGTGACTCTGGGTTTCACCCTTTTGCAATCATCAGACAAACTGGTTTATTTTTTAAAAAATTAGTTCGATTTATGCTTGTTTGCGTTCGATTAGGTTTGGCGGTGGGACTTCTCCTCGGTGTTCGTTTGGGATGACACTCTCTCACATACAGGCATACACACATACAGGTGTACGCATTTTAGTTCATACAAACACACCCATATAAACAATCCAAGATTAGGCGCAGTTACACACCCATGCGTTCGAGCGTACGTATATATACGTAATTGAAATTCTATTATAACTGTGTATGTATGCATGTTCGAACGCTGTGCGACACTGGAAAGTGCGACACTGAGATCGGAAGACGTATTGGGAAGGCCAAAGATGCATTCCAAAAGCTAAGCAGAGTATTAAGAGACAGAAAAATTTCTTTAGAAAAAAAGGAAAGAGTACAGAACTGTTATGTAATATCAGTCCTCCAACATGGCAGGGAATACTGGAATGCTTCAAAGATGAAGAAGTGACTTGAATCAACAGAAACAAGTGAGAGTGTACTGAACTGTTACGTAATATCAGTCCTCCTATATGACAGTGAATGCGGAACAATCTCATCACAGAGGAAGAAGAGTCTTAAAGCAACAGAAACAAAGAAAAGTGTACTGAACTTTTTTTTAAAGCATTACGCCCCGAGCAAGGCGTGAAGCCATTAGGATGCAGGGGGTTGCAGAAGATTTGGAGCGAGAGCAGATAGGAGTGATAGAGGAAAGGATGAGGAGAAGGATAGTGGGTAGTTCAAGGTAACTGGAGATGTCGATTGACAGTACATTTGAATAGTTGGAGATTATAGCTCTCAGGGAAACAGTAATAGGGAAGGGTGTTTCACAGGCGAGAGGTGCGAGATATGAAGCTATTGGAGTAGAAGAGACGGCTATATTTAGGAGTTTCTACAGTGTAAGGGCGAGAACGGGATGCCAGCCTCGTAGGGCGCTTGAATTCATGGAGTCTGGGAACCAGTGAAAGCAGCTTATCGGAGCAATTACCATGAAAGTATTTGTAGAAAAGACAGAGAGAGGCGACGGCGCGTCTGTGAGAGAGTGACTGTGGACGAGACGCCAGATCAGGGCCAGTTACATTACATATCCGTCTCTGGATCTTGTCAAGAACTCCGAGGTAAACAGAAGGTTCTCCAGCCCATATATGGCAGCAATACTCCATGCAAGGGCGAATGGTTGTTTTGTATATTTGAAGTATCGATTCCGGGGAGAAAATTTTCCTGGCGCGGCACAGAGAGCCAACTTTCCTCGCTGTTATGTAATATCAGTTCTCCAATATAGCAGTGAATGTTGGACAATCTCCTCAAAGATGAAGGGGAGACTTGAATCAATAGAAACAAAGAAAAGAGTACAGAACTGTTACTTAATATCAGTCTTCCTATATGGCTGGGAACGCTTGATAATATCCTCAAAGATGAAGAAGAGACTTGAATCAAAAGAAATGTAGTCCTATAGAAAGATTCTGAGGATACCATGGGCCGAACATGGAAGCAAAAACGAGGTCTTGGAGAGAATGGAAACAAAAAAGAAACTTATACTGAACATTAGTCAGAGACATTTGAGGTGTCTGGGGCTCGTTATGAGGAAGGAGGGCTTGGAAAATCTGATACTCGCGGGGCAGATTGATGGAAAGCGATACAGAGGAAAATAGTGCATAACATATTTAATGGGCTTGCGTAAATGGATGGTAGAACAGGATCTGGGAGAAATAACAAAAACCAAAAATAAACTTATTAAGAGCTACAAGGGGCAGGAAGATGTGGAGGACCATGATCGCTTACGTCCTGAAGGGACACGGCACATAAGAAAAGAAATTGAAATGAATTGAACGTATTCTTCTTCCCTGTGCCGTGTACCTTCAAGACATGTGTTATCATGGCCCTCCACATCTTCCTGTCCCTTGTAGCTCTTTGTAAGGGTTGTCTTTCCGCCAATTCTCACACTGCCTTTTCTAGTAATCCATGTACATAAATTATCGTACATATAAGATATTTTATTCAAAATCTGCGGTGTAAATGTTTCCTATCTCGGGATATTTCAAAGCAATATTTTCCAGGAGTCTGAGTATGGTGGCTGTAAATCATAAAAAAATGGCGGAGTGGTTGGAAACATCTCAAAATCAACATGGAAGACGTTTATTCGTCATCCATTAATCAGCACATATTACTATCTTTCAATATATTGTCTATATTTCTGAGATGAGGTATATTGTAATTATTTACACTCTTTACATTGTTCGGACTATTGTCCTCATTTCTGAAGAGGCATGGCACGCGGAACTAGAACAGTCTACCACGGTGGACGAAATAAAGAGTTCAGTTCGAAATTTCAATCACCTGAAAAAGGTCGGAGTGTAAAACGGTCGAAACGTTGTGAATATGGCAACAAAGATGGAGACAACAAACCGAACAATTTTTTCGCTTTTATTTACCTGTAGCCGACTAAGATGAAAGCGGGCAGTAACTTGTTTCTCAGTGGCTTCTTGCAATTCTTGTTTAAGACTTTTTACAGAACAGCGGGGAAAAATTCCACCCCATTTCAGCAGTCAGATAATTCGCATACTTGTAAAATCTGTGTCAGCTAACTGGCTATTCGTCTGTCTGTTGAACTCTATAGGAACCTAAATCGTGACATCTGGTAACGCCTTCTGCGTTCTCGTGAAGATTTACACCTGGAAAATTTAATGGCAAATAATTACCTGTCAACTGGTTTTATACTTTTCATCAGATAACCGTTTACGCGGGATCAACTGGTAATTCCTGTTTACTTTTTCTGTTTTCATACGTGGTAAATGCTAGAAACGTGAAATATCTGACAGTAGAGTAAACAATTCGTCTTTTTAAAAGTGGCTATTGGTAGAGGAGACGAAAGGTTCTGAAATTGTGCATATGCGCTTTAAGAGATATACACAGGTCCGCCAAGAACTGCGATGTTCAGCGGGACTGAGACAGGTGAGGTCTGACAGAAGGCTTGAAAAAAAGAAGAGGGATATAGAAGATAATGCTATCAGACGCTTAACGTCTGCTTCAGTGAAAAGGTAGGAAGGAAGAAAAGAGAAGGAAAGGAAGAAAAAAGAAAGAAAGAAAGAAAGAACGGAAGAAAGAATGAACGGAAGAAAGAAAGATGAAGATATAATGCTATATAATGTGAGAGAGGGAGAGAGAGGGGGCGAGAGAGAGAAGCAAGTTTGTGGGCATAGGAATCAAAACTGCATGGTGACTCTCAGTTACACGCCATAAGCGATCTTCAGTCCACGTGTCATTACTCCTTCAGCGGGCACTATATATATAGGCCAAGGAGAAATTATGGAAAGTGGCGTGAATATCGAAACTAACCTTTCCCAGTTTTCATTTTTTTATTTTTTTAGACCAAATGCTTTTGGGTTATTTATGCTCATGGCCCTAGATTATATATATATATATATATATATATATATATATATATATATATATATATATATGTGTCTGTGTGTGTGTGTGTGTGTGTGTGTGTGTGTGTGACTAACGACAATAGGAAAACTTATCTTAGACGACGCGTTTAGTCCTCTGGGAGATTTTATCAAAGCAAATTCCTTTATTAGAGGACGAAACGCGTCGGCTAAGATAAATTTCCTTCTGTCTTTATTCATGTTGTCCTTTTACAGTTATACTTATTTTCTATTTTTTGTATATATATATATATATATATATATATATATATATATATATATTATTTAGGTACTTCCATGGACTTTCTAAGAAAAGCCAGAAGTGCATTTTAAGTAATTTTAATGTTTTCTTTCAATTTAGATTGTGATTATATTTGAAAAAAAAAATAGTCTAAAGTTAACAAAAGAAAAATTATTTTAGGTCTTTTGATGAAGCTTTTAGACAGTAAAAATATATTTAAGATTTTAGAAAGTAGAAGAAAACTCACTTCCGTCCCGTTTGATTAGCGAATTTGATGGACGCTGGTAAAATACATATGAAAACCCTTTAAATATCTCTTACAATTCTAATATCTCTTCTAAATATTTGTTCCGACAAAAAATAGTAACTTTAATGTTTGATTAATTCGATTTCATGAAAATATTACTTAGATTTTGCAAAAAAAATAATATTATAAGACCTTTCTTTTTTTTGTGTCTCCTTATAACCTGCTTTGCTGTGTAAGTATATGTGATATATTTTTTCTCTGCGTGGGCACACGTGTATGTATGTATATATAGTTTTGTGTATTTCTTAGTAGCATAAAAACCTCTCTGAGAACAAAGCATGTTTGTTATTCCTTTTGCTTTCAGCCATTCTATTCTGTCTGGGAAGTACAGTGTTATTATATCACAGATTTAATAATGCCCATAATGGGGGAAATACAAATGGGAGAATAAACCTTTCTACCACAGCTCTCTCCTGTTATAAGAGATTTATCTGCTTGCCCCCCTCAAACAGAATACGAGATGATGGTAATGGTAATATATTAGCAGTTTCCACATTCAGCATTCATCTCCCTTGCCCTTTGGTGGCAATAAGTCACATTAATCACATTTTTCACAGTGACAAAAGCAGCAGTCAAAGTCAGTCTGTTTATGACCTGGGCGGAGGCTAAATCTGCCTCCCCAGCAGCTTACAAGTCCATAGTTCCATTTCCCTTTGGAAATATATCTTTCCAAGATATAGAATGAAACTCCAGCTCATAGTCCTCACTTTAGGAAAACTCCAAACTTGCTGTTTCCAATTTGTGGAATATGTCCTCATCTGGGACATAGATGAATCTGGCCCATTTGTATCTGTAGTCTTAGACATGGCTTCTCAAGACACAGGAGTATCTCCATATTATATGTAAAACCCTTCCTTTTTTCTCCTTACACTCTGCTTTGCCGTGTAGATATATGTATATTACACTTATATATATCTATATATAGTTTTGTGTATGTTCTAAGAGTATAAACGTCTCTCTGAGAATAAAGCATATCTGTCATTCCTTTTCCTTTCAGCCATTCTGTTCTGTCTGTGAAGTACAGTGTTATTATATCATGGATATAATAATGCCCATAATGGGGAAAATACAAATGGAAGAATACATCTTTCTTCCATAGCTCTCCTCCGTTATAATATAACACCTTCACGGATTTAGCTTTATAAAAATGTAGAAATTAGGAACATCTAAATTTTACCAGGAAGGATAAATCAGTAAAGGAATGGAAAGGAAGGAATGGATAGCGGCACGGTTTGCGGAATCGGAGAGCTGAGTTCGAATTATTTCTTGGGAAAGGTATGAATCATCTTCTCCCCCAGCTATGGGTAAATTGCAGGACAGACCGGGTTCTGTAGCCATGGAAGGCAACTGGTCTACCGCAGAAAGAAATGGCAACCTACTACGGGAAAAAATATGCCTCGTCAGTCATGTATCGAAAGATATATGATCACCTAACCACATATAACGCATGGCATATAACTGACTGAACTGACACGAAGAAATATTTTCACAAACCTTTTAAAAAAGATTTAATATAAAGTTTCATCAATGATTCTTTGATTTTTACTATTTTCCTTTAAACAGAGGATATTGTTTATTTTTTCGCACGTACCAAAAGTATATCGAAGGGAATTGCTTCAATATGAATTTCAGTCTACGTTTAAAATACCACCATCGTAAGGTTGCCTCCCTGTGTCTTTTCTATAAATACTTTCATGGTAATTGCTCGGATGATCTCTTCGCTATTAAAATTGTTGTTTTATCTCCCCCCCCACACACAGACAATGAATTGTACAGATGAGGACTAGTTAGGATTTCATAGAGACAATGAGGTATTATGGTGGATGTAGAAAGAATGGTAAGTAAAAATGGGGGTTTTGGAATATTGTGGTATGTTTGGGTCAGTGTTTGTGGCTAGCTAAGTTTAAATTTAAGAGAGAAGAAGACTGTCCTTTTCACCATTCTCCATTTTGGCCTTGTGCCACATTTTGTATTTTCACAAGTAAATATCACTCTTCGCTATGGTAGCTCGATTTTTGAATTTAAGCGCAGTACTAGACAGGCGTCAATATCTCATCAATTTACAATTGAGCCGGCAAGATGTAGCCGTAAGTTCTATGTTAACAGTTTCTTTTCTCGCACTTCTCGCTTGTGGAACTCCCTTCTGACTCTATACTTTCCAGCCAACTTTAATCTTCAAAAATTTAAATGCAATGTCAATCGTTGTCTACTGTCCTCCTGATTACTCTTTTCTCTTCCCACTCATTATTAATGTTTCTCTTCCTAATTCTTCCAAACCCTGTAACCCCTTGTGTCTTAGTGGCTCTATTGCCTTGCAAAGATTTAAATGCAATGTCAATTGCCATCTACTGTTCTCCTGATTACTCTTTTCTATTCCCGCTCATTATTAATCTTTCTGTTCCTAATTCTTCCAAACCCTGTAACCCCTTGTATTTTAGTGGCTTTATTGCCTTGCAAAAATTTAAATGCAATGTCAATCGTTGTCTACTGTCCTCCTGATTACTCTTTTCTCTTTCCACTCATTGGTAATGTTTCTGTTCCTAATTCTTCCAAACCCTGTAACCTCTTGTGTCTTAGTGGCTTTACTGCCTTGCAAAAATTTAAATGCAATGTCAATCGCTATCTAATATCCTCCTGATTACTTTTTCCTCTTCTCGCTCATTATAAATGTTTCTGTTCCTAATTCTTCCACACCCTGTAACCCCTTGTGTCTTTGTGGCTTTACTGTCTTGCATGGGGTCATATCGATTAAAAATAAAGAAAAAAGAAAGATGTCAGAAGGCAGAAATGTTAATGAAACGTAATGTTTTATGAACAAGTGTCTTGTTAATACAAGAAATTATTCTTGTAAATTAGAATTACGGTGGTTGACATTACAGAAAATACATAGGGTTGAATTGTTAAAAGTTGATATTTTTGTGGTGACTCAAAAGGAGATCACATGAAGATCAAAAGCTCCTTTAGGCGTTTGATTATAGAAGCAGTTGAGGGTTGTAATTATCCCTGGGGGTTGGGAAGAATTGAATACGACGTGTTTTCTTCATTTAATTCGCTATGGTAACTAGAGTTTTTGAATTTAAGCGCAATACTAGACTGACATCGAAATCCCATCAATTTACAATTGAGCTGCCAAAATGTAGCCATAAGTTCTATGCTAACAGTTTCTTTTCTCGCACTTCTCCCCTGAGAAACTCCCTTCCTGCTCCATTCTTTCCAGCCAATTTTATTGTGCAAAAATTTAAATGCTATGTCAATCGCTGTTTACTGTTGTCCTGATTACTCTTTTCTATTCCCGCTCATTAGTAATGTTTCTGTTCCTAATTCTTCCACATCCAGTAACTCCTTGTGTCTTAGTGGCTTTACTGCCTTACATGGGGTGAAATCGATAAAAAAAATCGCGGTTGCTTTCATATGCGTCTTAATTTCTTAACTGGTAGAACTTGAGGAATTTCATCACAAATTAAGGCATCTGATTCTAAACACAGTTTCAGGATATATAATTCTTCGTTCAACTACATCTTGATCCAGTCGAGCGTGTATATATTGAATAAGGAGTATTAAAAGAAGTCGCTGCGAACAGGATTCGAACCTGTGCGGGAATATCCCATTGGATTTCGAGTCCAACGCCTTAACCACTCGGCCATCGCAGCTAGTGACAGTTGTATTCGAGCTTATTTATTTTATCAAAAAAACATCACAAACTATCTTTTTTTTTCTTTTATTCTTTTACTATGTGGTTCATGTTGATATCCTGCTGACGTTTGAGATTTTATTAGATTGGAGAAAAATCGACCGCGTTTTCATTATCATTATTTATAATCCTATTCATTCTTTCTTTCTTTCTTTTTTTCTTTTATTACGGTTTTTCTTTCTTTTACTATAGTTTTTCTTTCTTTTCCCTCGTTTCTTTTCTCCTTCTTTCTTTCTTTTTACGCTCGACATTTACTATCAGTTTCCTTTAACCAATCTTTTTGTTATATAGACTATCTTTCGTTACTCTCAACTTCTTTCTTTCTTTTTCTTTGTGCTTTCTAATCCACTTCTTTCTTTCTTTCTTTCTTTCTTTTTTTCTTTCTTTCTTTCTATTATTAGACTCTATTCTTTCTTTCTTTCTCTCTATTATTGGACTATACTTTCTTTCTTTCTTTCTTTCCCTTTATTATTGGACTCTATACTTTCTTTCTTTCTTTCTCTCTATTATTGGACTCTATTCTTTCTTTCATTCTTTCTTTCTTTCTTTCTTTCTTTCTTTCTTTCTATTATTGGACTCTATACTTTCTTTCTTTCTCTCTATTATTGGACTCTATACTTTCTTTCTTTCTTTCTTTCTTTCTTTCCCTTTATAATTGGACTCTATACTTTCTTTCTTTCTATTATTGGACTCTATACTTTCTTTCTTGGTCTTTTTGTATGTTTCTATTGCTACCGATATACATACTTTTCTTTAAAAAAATTTTTTTTTTTACTTCAGTTCACCCGATACAAAAGTAGAATGTTACTGAGTGGGATTGTTGTAAAGGAGGGGGAAGGAAAAAAACAATAAGTGTATATTATGTGGATATGTAGGATAGATAACCTTGAACGTAAACTTGAAGAAGTTAAAGAATGTTGTGATTAGGGAATCATATTCTCGAGAGTTTTTTTCCACAATGTAACAGTTCTTTCTTTCTTTCTTTCTTTCTTTCTTTTCCTCTATTATTGGACTCTATACTTTCTTTCTTTCTTTCTTTCAGAAGTTTGAAATAAAACTACTTTGCCTCCGTAGTTGTTTACGAAAATCTGATCAATACTGTGACTTCTCACTTATGTGGTATGTGATTTCATCTCTTTAAAGTGTAACAGTTATATACACTCATGAATAAATAAGTAAAAAATATGGCATAAGTTGGGAGTTACTTCCCTTAGATATGTAGTCATGTGGTAAAAATTTATATAATAAAAAGAAATGTAAAATTCTGTCTATATTTCTGAGATGAGGTATTATGTACATTATTTACATTATTCGGACTATTGTCCTCATCTTCGTCGCCATATTTATTACAACGTTTCGGCCTTTCAGTATCTGTCTATATTTTTGAGATGAGGTATTATAAACACTATTTACATTATTCAGACTATTGTCCTCATCTTCGTCGCCATATTTATCACAACATTTCGGCCTTTCAGTATCTGCCTATATTTCAGAGATGAGGTATTATGTACACTATTTACATTATTCGGACTATTATCCTCATCTTCGTCGCCATATTTATTACAACGTTTCGGCCTTTCAGTATCTGTCTATATTTCTGAGATGAGGTATTATGTATTTACATTACTCGGTTTTTTTTTAGCTTTTCACCCCTAGCAAGGCGGGAAGCCACTAGGACGCAAGGGGTTACAGAAAATTTAGAGCAAGATCAGATAGGAGTGATAGAAGAAAGGATGAGGGTAGTGGATAGATCAAGGCAACTGGAGATGTCGATTGACATTACACTTGAATAGCTGGAGATTATAGCTCGCAGGGAAACAGGAATAGGGAAGGGAGTTCCACAGGCGAGAGGTGCGAGACATGATTATTGTCCTTATCTTTGTCGCCATATTTATTACAACGTTCCGGCCTTTTAGTATCTGTTTATATTTGAGATGAGGTATTATGTACACTATTTTGATTATTTGGACTATTGTCCTCATCTTTGTCGCCATATTTATTTCAACGTTTCGAATGTCGAACTGAACCCTTTATTTCGCTCACTGCCATGTTTAATGGATGTCAGTTATCTTCCCCTCTCCAAGTTCTCCACTACCATAACCGGGTATTGAACTCACACTCTTTGGGTCCTGTCACTGGATCTAACCAACGCCTTTACCCACTGTGCCATGTGTCCTGTATATGAATATCTGGGTATTATAAACCTAATATCTTCAGCAACCTTTTTTAACAGTGCTCATATTGCAATTTTTGCTGTTATCATTTCATGTTTTTACCAGAGCTCATATTGCAATTTTTGTTGTTATTATCGCTTTTCTCTGGCACTCCTTATTACTGGTTCCCATGATCAATCCAAATACAAAAGGATATATATTTATGCTTTATTGACCACGCAAAAGCGTTTGATAAAGTACATCACGAAGATCTGCTGGAACTGCTCGTTAACCTTAACATATTTGGGAAGAGTATTAGAATAATCCAGAACATATGCTGACAGCAGACCGTCTGTATAGAGATAAAAAAGAATTCAGTAAATATACAAAAATAGAAAAGCGTATAAGACAATGATGAGTCTTCTCTCCAGACATATTCTATCTATACAATGGGACGATTCTGAGAGAATTAAAAGTGCTACCAGGATTCACTATTGGTGGCCACAAGCTTTCTAACATAAGATATGCAGATAATACAGTGTTGATAGCAGATATAGATAAGGAAACTAAAAGAACTCCCACAGAAGTTAGTAAAGGAAAGCGAGAAGAAAGGACTAAACCTTAAATGCAAGAAGATAAAATGCATGATTGTTAGCAAAAAGAAAAGCCCAACATGCAAATTATAAATTGAAGATCTCAAAATCAAACAAGTGCAACAATTTAAATAACTGGGAAGCATTTTAACAGAGGACGGAAAGTGCAATACTGAAATTCGAAGGTATCTAAATTACCTAATTAAAATATGACTTCTCTACTTCGATTTGGTTTGAATGTCAAGTAAATGATGCAATTATGCTATTACCCACTGCCCTCACTAGCACTGGTGAAAACACAAATTGCATGCAAACTTATATGGCAAAGATGCAAATCAAAAATTAAAGTAATTCGTGGACCGACAAATCAAGATACAATGGATGATTATTTTGCAGAGTTTATATGGAATTAAAGGTTCACAGACTCTTTTTCATTTTTGGCATCAAACTGACATGGATTTATATCCTGTTAAATATTGGTTTTTGAATTTGTGTTATATTGAAAACAATTTATGTTTATTTTCTTGATTGAAGACATAATAATTGCTAAAAGCTCAATTTAAATATGATAATCCAAATGCATACAGACAGACATATCCATACATAACTATACAATTAGGCGATTCTGAGAGAATTAAGTCTTACCAGGATTCACTATTGGTGGCGACAAACTTTCTAACATAAGATATGCAGATAATACAGTGTTGATAGCAGATATAGATAAGGAAACTAAAAGAACTCCCACAGAAGTTAGTAAAGGAAAGCGAGAAGAAAGGACTAAACCTTAATTGCAAGAAGATAAAATGCATGATTGTTAGCAAAAAGAAAAGCCCAACATGCAAATTACAAATTGGAGATCTCAAAATCAAACAAATACAAAAAATTAAATATCTGGGAAGTGTTTGAACAAAGGACGGAAAGTGTGACACTGAGATACGAAGTGGCATTCGGGTAGCAAAAGATGCCTTCTAAAAGCTAAACAGTATTAAGAGACAGAAAAACTTCGCTAGGGGGACAAAGAAAAGAGTACTGAACTGTTATGTGATATCTGTCCTCCTGCCAGTGAATGAAATATGAAAAATATGAAAGAAGCTCGGATCTTAACAATCCTATTTTTTTGGAATACATGTCCTCCTGGGGAATATTACAATAGGTAATTTTCAACGTAATCATTTGTGGCCCAGATCAAGATGTTGCCAGCAATAAACACATACGACTAAAGAAACATCCCAACATGTAAACTACAAATTGGAGATACCAAAATCAAACAAATACAACAATTTAAATATCTGGGAAGTATTTTAAGAGAGGACGGAAAGTGTGACACTGAAATCCGAAGACGTATTGGGATGGCCAAAGATGCATTCCTAAATCTAAGCAAAGTATTAAGACACAGAAAAATTTCGTTAGAAACAAACAAACAAAAAAAGAGAGCATGAAATATCAGTCCTCCTATATGGCAGTGAATACTGTACAATCTCCTCGCAGAGGAAGTGACTTGAAGCAACAGAAAAGTGGTTCTACAGAAGGCTGCTGAGAATACCATGGATCGAATATGTGAGCAACGATGAAATTCTGGAGAAAATGTAAACAAAATGTACACATACTTAATATAAGGAAAAAACAGTTTCTAGGGCACATAATGAGGAAAGTGGACATGGAAAATTTGATACTCACAGGACAGAATGAAGGCAAGAAAGCCAGAGGAAAAGAACGCATAATCTACCTAGCGGATCTTGTATAAATGGATGGTGGAACAAGGCTTAGGAGAGATAAGAAAAAGGCAAAATTTATTAAGCGATACAAGGGACGGGAAGTTGTGGAGAGTCATGATCACTAACGCCTTGAAGAGATAACGCATATAGAAGAAGACATGTACGTAAATAATTTCAGTATAAATAACGTTATTCTAATTTAACCGGAACTTACAATTATGATCTGTCTTTTCCGTTGGAATGTCATTAGTCAATAATCCCTTATGACATGCAGTTGCCTTGCTTACGTCATCACTAAGGCAACACTTCAAATTCTCGATGTTGTTTGTTTATATTGTAAAACGATCTTTTTGATATAAGGTTGGCCGAAGAGTCTTAAACTTCACTCAAATATTGTAGTTTGGATTAACAAAGCGGTGTTTGACTTCCGTAAGTATGATTTATGTATGTAGATAACATCACCGATTTTTTCGACTCACGTGTTTCCAGAAACTTGCAAGAATATGCTTTTTCCGGAACGAGAAAAGGTCACGTACTGATAATTCAATAACACACTTCTGACCGACTAATTATACACATATCATATCTCGAAAACGTTTGGACTGTTAGAAACTTGAATGAAATTAGATTCAAAATTCTGATATCAAATTATTTAAGGAAAGTCTTAAGAGGCTTTCCAAAATTTACCACATCTAACACATTTATATCTTTCATAAAATACAATATTCTTTGGTGTTTGGTTTGATCCTGATTTTTTTTTCTTTGTTTTTGCTATGAACTTTCTTTCTTTGTACCTCTACCTCTTGCATTGTTTCTTTGTTTGCTTGTTTCTTTCTTTTTTCTTTCTTTCTTTCTTTCTTTCTTTCTTTCTTTCTTTACTCTCCATCTTTTTCTTTTTTCTCTGCTTTGTTTTTCTTTCTTTCTTTTCAGTCATTCTTTTTTTTACTCATCATCTTTTTCTTTATTTCTCTCGTCTTTCTTCCTTTCTTTCTTTCTTTCTTTCTTTCTTTCTTTATACTTTTCTCTTTTTTCGCTGGTTTCTTTCTTTCAAGTCATTCTTTCTTTAATCTTCATCTTTTTCTTTTTTTGTCTCCTGTATTTCTAGTCTTTCTTTCTTTCTTTCTTTCTTTCTTTCTTTCTTTCTTTCTTTCTTTCTTTCATTCTTTCTTTCTTTCTTTCTTTCTTTCTTTCTTAGTCGCCGGACAGCTCATCCTTTCTTTGTGTACAATCGTCACTCTCTTTTCCTTTGTATTCGGTCTTCTTTCTTTCTTTCTTTCTTTCTTTCTTTCTTTCTTTCTTTCTTTCTTTCTTTCTTTCTTTCTTTCGTTCGTTCGTTCTAGTCATTCTTTCTTTACCCTTCATCTCTTTCTTTCTTTCTTTATAGTACAGATTTTATTTCTTTCCACTTTAATTCTTCTTTCTTTAGCTACAGACACTTTCCCCCTGGGATTGGATAAGGAAAATATACCTTTTGGTGTTAAGTACGCTTTATACACACACCATCCTTACACAGCAATTCAACTCCAGCGGAACAATCATTACTACTAAATCATAACTACTAAAAAGTAAGTTCAATTCTCAGTGGGTCCTCCATACTAATGGCCTCGTGCCAAACAAAGCTTAGTTTAGCAAATAACATAGTGTTCCGTCCCCAAGGTTGCTCGTTCGCCATTACATTAAAAGCAGGAAGAACATTGCAGAAAAAACGCAGGCATTGACAAACAGAAGAGCCAGGGAATTATTTCCGGTACCATCCGCATGTACTGGTACGGGTGTTCATGTTAATTATGACATTCTGTTAACCCTACCATCGTGGGGTGGCCCGCGGGTATGCAGTGTGTCCAAATTTTTATCCGGATTAAAAGAGGTGTTGGGGTTATAAGTTATTTGATAGTCTGCTTGTATTGTTTTAATAGTATGGAACTTTCTGTAGGAAAACAACATGCTATTGTCTGTCTATATTCCTGAGATAAGGTATTGTAATTATTTACATTTTTCGGACTGCTGTCCTCATGTTTGTTGCCATATTTACGACATTTCGACCATTATACGCTCCGGCCTTCTTCAGGTGATTGGAATTTAGAACTGAACCCTTTATTACTTGGTTGAAATAACAGACAGAAAACATCGCTGGAAAATACGAAAACTTCAGGAATCCGTGCATATGCCAGACCACAAAATATTTTATGTTTTCAGTTACATATAGTAAAAGGCAAAATATTTTATGGCTTCATTTACATATAGTAAAAGGCAAAATATTTTATGGCAAAATATTTTATGGCTTCAATTACAACATATAGTAAAAGGCATCCGTGCATAGAATCCGTGCATATGCCAGACCACAAAATATTTTATGTCTTCAGTTACATATAGTAAAAGGCAAAATATTTTATGGCTTCAGTTACATATAGTAAAAGGCAAAATATTTTATGGCTTCAATTACATATAGTAAAAGGCAAAATATTTTATGGCTTCAATTACAACATATAGTAAAAGGCAAAATATTTTTGGGCTTCAATTACATATAGTAAAAGGCAAAATATTTTATGGCTTCAGTTACATATAGTAAAAGGCAAAATATTTTTGGGCTTCAATTACATATAGTAAAAGGCAAAATATTTTATGGCTTCAATTACAACATATAGTAAAAGGCAAAATATTTTTGGGCTTTAGTTACATATAGTAAAAGGCAAAATATTTTATGGCTTCAATTACAACATATAGTAAAAAGGCAAAATATTTTTTGGGCTTCAGTTACATATAGTAAAAGGCAAAATATTTTATGGCTTCAGTTACATATAGTAAAAGGCAAAATATTTTGGGCTTCAATTACATATAGTAAAAGGCAAAATATTTTATGGCTTCAATTACAACATATAGTAAAAGGCAAAATATTTTTGGGCTTCAGTTACATATAGTAAAAGGCAAAATATTTTATGGCTTCAATTACAACATATAGTAAAAGGCAAAATATTTTTGGGCTTCAGTTACATATAGTAAAAGGCAAAATATTTTATGGCTTCAATTACAACATATAGTAAAAGGCAAAATATTTTTGGGCTTCAGTTACATATAGTAAAAGGCAAAATATTTTATGGCTTCAGTTACATATAGTAAAAGGCAAAATATTTTTGGGCTTCAATTACATATAGTAAAAGGCAAAATATTTTATGGCTTCAGTTACATATAGTAAAAGGCATAAAATTGCGTTCAAAAGAACGCAATTTTATGCCTTTTATTACAGATGTTTTGTACATATTTTATACTTTCAGGACAAACGTATGATTTTTAGATATATAAATATATGATATTTTTATCATAAAAATGAATTTTTATACTATTTTAGTTCTCTAATGATAGACATTTTGAATAAAAATCTATTATTTACATTATTCGGACTATTGTCCTCATCTTTGTCGCCATATTTATTACAACGTTTCGGGCGTTGTACGCTCCAGCCTTCTTCAGGTAGTTGGAATGTCGAACTGAACCCTTTATTTCGCTCACTGGGGTAAACTGTTCTAGTTCCACGTGCCATGTTTGATGGATGTCAATTATCAGTTATCTCCTGTTAATTTCCCTCTGAAAGTTCTCCACTGCCTTAACCGGGTATTGAACTCACACTCTCTGGGTCCTGTCACTGGATCTAACCAACGCCTTTATCCACTGTGCCATGTGTCCTTGAGCAACGAGAACAGTCTGCTCCAGTGAGCGAAATAAAGGGTTCAGTTCGACATTCCAACCACCTGAAGAAGGCCGGAGCGTACAAAGGCTGAAACGTTGTAATAAATATGGCGACAAAGATGAGGACAATAGTCCGAATAATATAAATAATGTATATAATGTCTCACCTCAGAAATATAGAGAGATACTGAAAGGCCGAAACGCTGTAATAAATATGGTGACAAAGATAAGGACAATAGTCCGAATAATGTAAATAGTGTACATAATACCTCATCTCAAAAATATAGACAGATACTGAAGGGCTGAAACGTTGTAATAAATATGGGGACAAAGATGAGGACAATAGTCCGAATAATATAAATAATGTATATAATGCCTCACCTCAGAAATATAGAGAGATACTGAAAGGCCGAAACGCTGTAATAAATATGGTGACAAAGATGAGGACAATAGTCCGAATAATGTAAATAGTGTACATAATACCTCATCTCAAAAATATAGACAGACTCTAAAAAATCTATTGTTGTTCATTTTATTATAAAATGTATTGTTGGTAATTTCACTACAAAAATATATTATTGGTAATTTTTTTATAAAAATGTATTGCTAGTATTATTACTATAAAAATGTATTTCAATTGTTTTGATTTTTGTTTGGGAGTTCACTATTTACACATAGCTAGGATCCTAACAGGTGCTACCACATCGGGTCAGAAAAGAGTTTGGTACCGTTCAGTCAGTCAGTTATGTGCCGTGCATAATACACGCTTAGGCGATCATGTATCTTTCGATGCATGACTGATGAGGCAGATTTTTTTTCCAGCAGTACGTTCCCATTTCTTTCTGTTGCCATCCAAGTCTATAGAATGGTCTATCCTGCTATATACCCATAACTGGTGGAGGGGAGAAGGAGAGGATGCATACCTTTCCCAAGATTATTAGCACGTAAGTGAATATAATGGACTCGACTGGAATTCGAACACGGCTCTCCGATTCCTCAGTCCTCAATCCACCGTGGTACAGTTACAAAAATCAAAATAAGTGAAATATAGTCAATCCTTTGCCGATCCAAATATCACATAGTTTTGCATATTTTTGTTTACAATGTAGTAGTAGGCTAAGTTTAATAAATAAAATAAATACTTCTTAAATCCCATGAGATGTATCATATACATATCATCTCCTTAACACCTAATTAATATCAACATCAGCATTCTTAAGGACAGAGCAATTAGGAAAGTTCATTTCTGAAACCAGGTACTTGGATAAACAAAACAAAAGATCAACAACCCTGTACCAAAGCGAATGACAATCCTATCCATACACACTCATCGCACTCCACGACCAATTATCCGACTTAATATCAACCAAAATAAGAAAAAAAAGAAAAGAGGGCTTTGTACTCAGTTCTCTTTACCTATTTCATTCAGAAGAGGCTAGTTCCCTCCACTAACCACCAAATAAATAATTAGGAAGACTGCCAGTTATAATGAAAGAGCAGTTTCTCTCTGTTCTAACGTATGCATCAAAAGAAAATAAACCTTTCAAAATAACGTTCTATAAGAATTCATTCATTCTGCGTCAACCTCAACAAAGGCCAATGCTTAGATGTGACACACACACGCAAACACACACACACACACACACACACACACACACACACACACACACACACACACATATATATATATTGTCTATTTAGGCAGCAATCCTTCATTTATATATGTTTCATTAAAGCCGACAGACAAGGTACTGCGATTAAGCTTTTTATTTAATTTTTCTCGTATTCAAACAAGTGTTTTCTTTTCTGGACACAGAGTGTGCAGAAACTGTCCAAATGTTCTATAATTCCGAGCGCTTTCGGCTATACTTTTAGCCATTATCAAGGATGATTTTATTTTTATTTTTTAGCTGGATGTATGGGTTGTGTGTATGTATATAGAGTTATAGGGATGTTTTATTTTCCCAACACATCCAGCACATTGTGGCCGTGTTCGTAGTTAATATTATTGAGTATTGGCTTTTTCTTTTTTATTATTAAGGCTTCCATTATTTTTAATCTTTTTTTACATGTGGACAAGGTTATTATGTTTGAATTTTCGACTAATATGTTTCGGATCGAGTCTGGTAAGTTTGTGTGTGTGTGTTTAAATAGATTCTGATGGAACTGTGGCCTGATAAGTCTAACGTAAGTCGTCTGGATAGGTATGTAGTAGTGTGACCGATGTAATTATTCGGTTTGATCAGGAACACAGATACTTAAGGGACATTTGAACTCGTAAATAATGTTTGTTCTTTGTAGTTCTGATATTTTTTTGGGCGGGGGTAACATTAGCCGTTTTAAATTTTTTGTAGTAGATAACTAATTTAAGTCTTTTGTTCGAGTCAATTGGGTGTCGTGTATTTCTTTATGATATTTCTAAGTGAACATTCATCTTGTTTATTGTTGACGCGCATTTGGCTTTTGTAGAAAATATTTATGTTATTTTTGTCTGTGTGTTCAGTATCGTCTACGTAGCGGACATATATTTTAGGTTTGCAGACCTGTTTAAATATCATGTTTTCTATATGGAATATGAAGTAATTAAAGAAGCAGTAGATTTCCCATACTAACACCTTTAGTTTGGGTGTAAATGTTGCCATTATGGTCGTAGAAG